AAATGAAAAATTAACTTTGCGTAGCCTAATCAAAATGAAAAGAAATGAAATTAAAATCAGAAAAAAATATCACACTTAAGAGAGAAAGTACAATTTTTAGATAAAATGGAACGACTTGGCAATCATAAAGTTCTCCCAATCCGAAATAGAGAAAATCTTGAAAAACTTTTTTCTGCTAAGAGGGCTTTTTGGAAAGAATTTAGAAGAGATGAAATATCTGCAATAAATTTTTGGTTGGTTGATAAGAAAGAAGTCATCGTTGTTACCTTAAATCTACCGGAGGGGTCATCATTACTTTTTTATTTACCATCCGTATTTGAGGATTTTCCAGTGATTATTGACTATGGAACGGTCATACCATTTCATTGATCTTACCATGAAGAACTTACTCCTGGTATCAGTATTGGACGTTTTAAAGGTTCACAAAATGCATGTACACTAGTTCAAATAAAATCGTAACCTGGAGGTGTTTATATTCTTGCAACAAAATACTTTTTGTGCTTATTTGTTGATGTTCCTTTTTTTGATAAAGATTTCTTCTAAGTGTTGCGCCAAAGTCTCAAGATACAGTTTTTTGAATACCAACAAAAATGGATATCTTCTCGATTATGCCCTTTGTAGGATTGAATGACAAAAATCATAGATTATTAGGAAATCAAAACAAATTATTTGGAACTGAAATAAATGTTTCTGATTTTAATACTTCTATAAGCTGCAATTAAAATATTATCGATATGAGATGTTAACTAACGTTTGTGACGAGCCTATCTGTTGTGCTGTGGACCAGTACCCTGTATACTATGTTCGTGGAATGTTGGACGTTATAGGCTTGGACTTTGATCGTGAACTGTGTTCATGATATCACGTGACCACGTGATCGGGTAATTCGACATGACGGGCAGGGTAATAAGTAAATCAGAATGGTAGTACATAAATAATTTATTATAGCATGATCCTATTTTGCATAATGTTTGCGTCATTAATGTAAAGTTTATTATAGCTTGTGTGCAATCTTGCATTGACAATGTAGTCATCAATTTATAGTTTAACAGAGTCAAATTCTGTATAAATAGAGTAGGGCTTAATAAGCCAAAAGGACAGTTCTCTCTCTTGTAATAAAGATACATACGAATCCTGCAATAAAGCACTGGTCACCTGTTTCATGATTCTTTGTGCGTGTGTCGTCGACGTCGTTGTAGTTGCAGTACCACTGATTGAGCTAGATTGTTAAGTGGAACGACCCCATTTATTAATCCGCACAACACTATCTCCTTTCTGATTCACTTTTTCAATTATTCTTCGGTCATTAAGCTTTTTCGTTTCTTCAAGTTTCATTTTTTA